CAGGTCGCCGTTCACCCTGCCCTGAACGCCGCACTGACAGTGGCAGAGACAAAGACAATGACGCCCCGCGACCTTGCGGCAGACGTATCCTGCGTTGAGGAGGAGCTGCTGAAGTTTGTCACCGTCAATTCGGCCTGAGTCGCACAGGGAACCAATGGTGACCCACGTAGGAATATATATATATAGTGTATTGGTGTGTGTATAAAGAAGGTGATAATTATTTTAGGCCAAGAGTCTTTTTTTGTATTTGATCTTTTTTTCTATTTTCGACGCGTCTTCCACGTCCGGTGGCTTTGGGTTTTTAGTTCCCTTGTTGTTAGGAGTAGTAATAGGTGAATAACAGGCATTTACGGTCGCGACGTCTCCTCCACTGTGGTCTCGTGTGTAACTCTCCCCTTCACCGCCACACCTGTTTTCTGCCAACACCACCACACCTGTTTTCTGCCAACACCGCCACCCACACACACACATTCCACCTCCTTCTGCTTGAAGTAAAAGACACCCCACCTCACCACCCCCACACCCCACAGAAGGTGAAACAAAAACTGAAGGATAAGAGGAAGGGCAACTCAGGAAACGCGACGTTAGTGAGGGCTGCAAAGAGAAACGGACAGACAGAAAAAGAGAGAAAGCGAGGGCGGCAAGTTTTGGTCGCAGCGCACACTGGCACTGCTTTTTGCTTGCTGTCTCGCTCTCCCTCGCTTTTGCTCTTCTTGCGTCACACGAGATGGCTGCCCGCTCCCTCCAAAGTAGGCCGGGGCCCTCCACGTTGTGGGGCCAATTCATGGCTGCTGATGTCACTCACACGTTTCACATGCTTTTTGCTGAGAAGCTGTCTACCGTGTCTGACCGACGGGAGTTTTCCACGCGACTGACAGCCCTCATGCGGCAGTGGCGGGCAGAACACTGGCGTGACATCTTCATTGGCGCCGCTGCGAAGCGAGGCGGGGGAAGTGACGGAGATCGATGCGGCGGGATGCGCAGGGCAGACGACAGGGAGGAGGACAGTGCTGCCGCGGCGGCGCGGCGGTGGGAGCGTGGAGTGGCGATGTACTACGAGTCCATCCGTGTGCAGCGGCTGATGGACGAGGTGTTGTTTTTTCAGGTGTCGGAGGCGGATGAATTGGAATTGGATAAACTGAGTCGCCGTGAGTCGAGGCGACGGCGAGGATTAGTTCGCGCCGTGGACGAGGTCTGGTGCGCCGGAAAGGCTGCGGCCGACTTCCTGCTTCCGGTCACGGAGCGGGAGGCGCCGCTGTACTACCGCCGGGTGCGTCGGCCCGTGTGCGTCGCCTCCATCTATTGCAGCGTGTGGGAGGGCGAGGTGGAGGACTACGCGGGGCTGAAGGTGCTCTTGACCCTCATGCGCTCCAACTGCGAGCTTTACAACGGCGGCGGGAGTCCGCTAGTGGCGGCGTGTCAGGAGCTCGTCTCTGTTGGCTTCCGCGCGGCGCGGGAGGCGCAGGCCGATGAGGAAGAGGAGGCTGCGGCGGCGAATGGGTGCTCTATCGGTGTTGCCGAGGGCGGGGACAGCTGCACACGATTTCCGCCTCGCACGGAAGCGGAGCTGGCGTGGATGTTCCCACCTCGACGAGAGGCGGACCAGCTGCCGGTAGACAGCGGCTGCAGCACCGCGGCGGCGGGACGCGGCGAAGGACACGACGCCGGTGAGACCAAGCGCGTGCTGCGGCTCATTCGCCGGTCGGGCGCACAGGAGACAACAGCGCCCGCACACGTAGAGCCCCCCGCCGGCACGGCGACAACGCGGCGCTTGACGCTGCGGCGCGGGCCGGCTGCCACCCCCGATGCCAATGCCAATGCCAATGCCAATGCCGATGTCGCCGCTTCGTTCAAGAAGAATAAGAAGGCGGCGAGGAATGGCACCGCGGCGACACCGCGAAGGGGGCGAAAGAAGCTGCAGGCGGAGAAGGAGGTAACGTACTGGATGTGCTGCGACCTGTGCGACAACTGGTGCATTGTGCCGGAGAAGCCTGACCCCATGCCGGAGCACTGGGACTGCTCCATCATCGGCCGGGAGTGCGCCCCGCCGAAGGCAAAGCAAAAGGGTGATAAGCCGCTGCCAACAGGGCAGAAGAAGCGACCTGGTGAAAAGAAGACGCGCGGAGAGGCGGAAGTCCCCGAGCAGGTCAGAGCGGAACGAGGTCGAAGGAATAGGAAAGGTGTGGCGGAGAAGCAGGCGGGGGATGAGCCGACACTTCTACAAGAGCACGTTGCAAAGCTGAAGCACAAGAATGTCTCGTGTGCAGCCGCACCGCGGAAGCGCCATGCACTCCCATCCCCTTCTTTTTCTTTCTCCTCCTCCTCTTCATCGTCGTCATCATCATCGGCCTCCTCTTCGTCGGGATTAACCGGTAGCAGCAGCGGCAGCCCTGACACTCAACCGCGTCGCAGACGCGGACGCAAACCTGTTAGGGCGCTACAGCGGCAGCAGCAGCGTCGTGACCGAAAGCGCCCTCGTGCCACCAGAAGCTCATCGTGGAACGAGGAAAGTAGCAGTGACGATGACGACGGCACGCCACAGCCGTTGCGTGCAGTGAAGGCTGAAAAGCCCCCCTTGACGGTGGAGAAGCTCGTGGAACTTGAGGCGGCCATGGGCGAGGTGGAGGTGATGCCAGTCGACGACCAGAACCCCGTGGAAATCCTTGCAAGACTTCGGAGCATAGAGAAATTGCTGCGGTGAGAGGGGCAGTCGCCTGAGGGTAACTACCGACCGCACCCGCTTCTTTGTGTGTGTGTGTGTGTGTTTGTTTGTTTACACTCCGTGCGGTCCGCGAGCGGACTTGTTTGAAGGTATTTACTCAATTGGGCGTGTCTTTCGCTCTCCATCTTTATATTTATCTCGACGTATGTATGTATACTGATTTTTTCTTTCTTTTCCTTCTGCTTTGCGTTGTGCGGCTTGCATCTTCTCCCACCTCACCGAGAGATACACGCCTGCGTTGCTGGCAGCAGATTGGGGGTGCAGCCGAGGGACGGGAAGCCGCTGCGGGCAGGCGATGGAGCAACGGAGCGTCGATTCCCCCAGCGCCTACGTGACACGGGTGAACCGTCATCTGGACGGTGTTGAGTACCATCTGCGCCACATGCAACGCCGCGCCAGCGCACGCCTCCCACGTCCTCACGGCACTGGCCCGCTCAGTTTCCACCAGGCACAGTCAGCGACGCGTAGCAGTGCATCACAGCAGAGGCCATGGCCGTCCGTCTGGCGTGGACCGAACGGCGGCCCGGGGGCAAGGGAAGAGCCACGAGCGGCAGGTACTTGCCGCACGAAGACCCCTGCCACATCCACCCTGTCATCACCCTCAGCGTTACCGCATCCCATACAGGCGAGGCGCAAAGGTGCCGTGGTGGTTGCTGCACAAGGTCGCGTTTTAAGGCCGTTGCTGCGGCGTCAACCATCGCGGTCGTCGAGTGTCGCCAGTTCATTGCTGAGCTCCAGCTTATCCACGCTGCTGTCGTCGTCATCCTCATCCTCCGCCTCCTCGAGCTCGTTGTCGCCGCGACGGCAGCAGGGAATGGCAATATCGAGCGTCTCTTCTACGTTAACTTCCGCCACGCTTGTCTCCTTTTCTTCCCTTGAGGGGAGTCCGGCAGGTGAGATCGCGACGAGGTGGCTGCAGTGGCGTAGAGCCGCCTACCATCTTCTCGCATCCCACTACGAAAAGTGCCATACTTTACTGACACACTGGAGGCAGTTGGGACTGCAGCGTCAGGGACGCGCTGTAAACGACCTTATTGCTGCCTTTAGAGGTGAGGAGCGGAAGGAAAGGCGCAGCCTCACAAGTCCAAGTGAAAGCAGCGATTCAATAGACGACATCAACGACGGCAACCAAGCATTAGGGACAGTTCCTAATGACGCTACGCTGCACCCCATAACGACGAGCACTTATGCCGAAATGTTGTTGGAGCGTGAGGCGGAACGCGTGGCGGGGCAGCTCGTAGTGCTGGCGGAGGAGGAGGCCGCAACCAGGCACGCACTTGAGGACGAGGCTCTTCGTGCCGCCGACGGTATTGGGCGCGCACGGAACCGCAGCGCCAGGGAGGCTGCTGTGCGCGAGAAGAAGAGGCGCATTGCGGTGCAGGCTGCGTCTGCGGCATCCGCACGGGCCCACGTCCAGCGCGAGAGCCGTAGAGTAGAGGAGGAAGAGGCAGCCCGGCGGCGTGCCACCGAGCGGGATGAGGAAGAGAAGTTCACTGATCTGATGGAGGCGATAGACCGAGGCGCCGAAATGTTGTTGGAGCGTGAGGCGGAACGTGTGGCGAGACCTGGGAGTCCTTTCAATGTTCCTTTGCCCTCCGTGTTGATGACGGCTACTGAAGGTGCCTCCGCGTGGAATGAAAAGGCGACACAGACGCCGCGGAAGCTGCTTAGAGTAAAGGCAACGCAGACTGAAGGAGAAGTATGCACTGAGCCTGAGCCGGTGGTGCACGTTCAGTCTTCGGCATCGACGGAGGGATCACAGTTGACGGGGGGTCGCTGGCGGCAACGTGGCTCTGTCAGGCGTCCAATACCGGCCGGCGAATGGCGTATGGCTGTAGCCGCTGAGGGAAAGTCCGCGGCAGTTGCAAAGGAAGGTGGAGACGGAGCGAGCGGGGCAGTTGTTGCTGGCAGCCCTATCTCTTCATGTTGTAGCAAATCTGTGCAGACGTCTTTTTTGCGAAGCATCTCCGTGCAGGTCTGTGATGCGTATTTAGAGTCACAGCGTCCACGTGAGGCGCTATCTTGCTTCCAAGCCACTGAACTGCAGCAGGGCGAGGTGTTGTCGCCCCGTCAGTCTGACGGCGGCTCATCGAAGAGCACAACGTGCACGGGGCCATCGCTCTTGTCGGGAGCTTCGCGGGCGAGTGGAGGTGCGAAGGGGGACGAGGCAGGTGTCCCCGTCTCCGTTGAGGAGATTACCTCGCGGGAGCAGGATGCGGCGCGACGGTCCAATGAAACTGACTCGCCGCGGCTAGTGGACTCCACCCGTAAGAAGGCGCTGCGCCCGCCAGAGCGACTGGCACGGAGGCGTCACGGTGGGCGTGCTCAGTCCGCCGTGGAGACGCACCGGCTGAAGTACGACAGTTTGGCAAGCGACGAGGAGGAGAAGCGGGCGTTTACCCCGCATTGGGACCTTGACACCATTGACTTTGACTGGAGCATCGACCTGCCTCCGTGCAACACCGCCGTTCGTCGTCTTGTGCACGTGGAGATGCGGCACCGGCGGCACGTGGAGCGGCATGAGTTGCTCGCGCGCAACGAGGTGAGGTGGGACGAGCTAAACCGCTACCGTACGTGGGCCCTGTGGCAGGAAGCAGCCGTCGTGGCGGCGGACGCGGCGTGCGAGGCAAGCAAAGACACCAGCGAAGGGAAGGATGGGGAAGAAGAAGAAGAAAAAAAAGGAGCGGACGCTCAGGGGCGGTTGTTTGCGGCGGAGGCTGTTGTTTTCACTGCCGCCGCCGCGGAGAACGGGGACGATGATAAGGAAAATATTGTGCCCTGCGCGAACGTTCTGAAACCCGCTGGTGCAGTGCAGCGGGGCCGATCCACCGCGTGGTGCGTTGACATGACCGGTGGACCGTCCGGCACTCCGCCGCACCTCCGAGATCGTCCGTGGGCGGCGATGCTCACACGACGGAAATCGCAGAGCTGCGGCGCACACTCTTTTGCTGTGGTACGTCTCCCGCTGTCGATGCCGCGGGCTTCTCACAGGACACCCAACGTCAGCTCCGTCACGGTTGGGGCGCCAGTGAGGTGGGGCTTGGCGGGTGGTGACATGCGTGGCGCCCCCCCGCAGCGAGCACCGGAGACTGTCTTCACAAAAAAGTGTGCCGAGCTTCCAGGCTACGCCCAGCAGTATGAGCGGCGGCTTATGTGGAAACAGCGCCAGCAACATGACTCTGGGCTGCCGGAGCCGGAGCCGATTTATCGCCGGGCAACCACGTCGTTTTTGGAGTCTGCGGAGTGGCGTTACCAGAAAATGTATGTTGACCGCTACTTGTTTGTGAGACGCCGCGATCGAAGTGCCCGGAAATGTGCAGACGCCGTCTGCGAAGAGGTGAGTCGAGCGCAGGTAACGTGGGAGCTGCAGCAGAGCTAATGCGGCCCTCCCACATGCTCTACCTCTCTCTCGCTGCATCCCTTCCCCTCACTCTGTCTGCCTGTGTGTATGTGCATGTGTTTTGGGTTATGGCCTGCAACGTGGTGGGAGCACTGATGTCAACAATAAACATGCCGGAGAAGCGCTGGATATTGCTGATGTTATTTCATTCTTTTTCATTTTTTTTTTCTTTGTGTGTGTATTTGTTTGTTAAGTTGGGCAGATTCGTTCCGCTCGCAGCAGGTGTATATTGGCATCACGGTCTCCGTACGACGTAGTCAACAGCGTGGCTTGTGCCAGGGGTGTGACGCAGCATGAGCCAACTGGCGCCTGTGCCGGAGGGCAGCCGTGCTGCTGCTGCTGCTGCTGCTGCTGAGGTTGAGGTGAAGGAGGAGGAGGAGAACCTCGTCGCTGCGGCAGTGCAAGGGGAACACAAGAAATACTGCGCGGAGGAGGTGGACAAGGACGCAAAAAGTGATGTCAATGGGTCTACGTGGCGACTGCAGCAGCAACAATGTGGGTGGCAAGACACGTGGGCGTTGGTCACCTTTCTTCTCGTCGTTGGTGTGAGTGCGGCCTGGGGTATGACGTTTGCGCTTACCGGTGAGCTCACCGAAAGTCTCCAACAGCTCGTGGAGCAGTTGGGGGCGGATGTCCTCGGCCGCGTCACAACAGCCCAGGTCTTCGTTGGGTTTGCTATGGGAGTTTCCACTGCCGGGGTCTGCACGGCGGTGGTAGTGCTGCTCTTGGAGCTCGCACCGACTGCTGCCATCGTGCTGAGTGCCCTCCTTTTCTCAGCCGTGCTGCTGCTACTTTCGGTCGTGGCCTTTGATCAGGCAATCGTGCCCATCGGTGCCACTCTGGCGTTGATGGGGTTACTGCAGGTCTGCTGGCTGTGCGCTGTGCGGAGTCGCATTGCATTCTCTGCCCAACTTCTCGCCGCCGCGTCCGCCGTCATGCAGCAATTTCCCGCTCTGCTTTGCATCCCCGCTCTGCTGATGATTGCCTTTTTCGGGCACCTGCTGTGGGGCGTGTTGGTTTTGCACGCCGCCGCCAAACGCATGCAGCGCGGTGACCTTGCGTGGATGGATGGCGGCCTTGCGGCGACCTCCGTCTTTTCCATCGTGTGGGTCGCAAACCTCGTCTCGGGCGTGTCGCGTGTTACCACGGGGGGGGTTGTGGGGACGCGGTACTTCGCCAGCAGCGAGAACCTGCCGCATGCTCCAACGTGGGCGTCGTTTAAGCGAGCCACGACGACCAGTTTCGGCTCCGTCTGCCTCGGAGCTCTGCTGAACACGGTGGTGAGTTTGCTGGGCTGGGTCTGTCGTCTGAGCTTAAACACTGGCAGCGAGTTCATTGACTGCTGCCTGGTCTGCGTGCTGAGCCTGCTTGGCTGCCTTGTCGCCTACTGCAACTTCTACGTCTACGTGCAGGTCGCTCTGTACGGCTGCGGCTACGTGGCCTCCGCCAGGCGTACGTGGCGACTATGGCAGAAGTGCGCCTGTTCCGCTGCCTTTAATGACGCCCTCGTGAGCACCACGCTGCGGGTGCTGGAGGTGGGTCTTGCCGGCGTCGTGGCTGCGGTGCTGGCGTGCTCCGTTCGTTCTGTGGCTCTGGAGGTCATTGTGTTCCTCATCTTTCTGTTCTCCCTGACGTGCGTGCTCCGCGTCGTCTCGGAGGTCGTGCACACCCTCTTCGTCGGTTTCGCGGAGCTGCCGGACAGACTTGCGGCTTCCTTCCCAGATCTGCACGCGGCATTGATGGCCAGCGATGACAACTTCGCCGCCATTCACGCCCACCAGCGTTGTGCCGTTCCAGTCTGAAGTGCGCAGCTGCAATTTTTTTTTTTTGTTTCCTTTATATTAATACGTGTATGTATATATATATATATATATAACTATGTGTGCGGCATGTACCAGGACAATAAAATGAGGAGTTTGTTGTTGTTTTTTTTTTTTTATTGTTTCAACAATAACAAAAAAAAAAGGACGAATACTCCCACCACGAATGATATCAATTATTTTGCTTTGATGCATTTATATATTGATCAGCTATCATTTGCGTTTTCATTTTGTTTGTCAGTGTGTTGTTGTGTGTTTGCTTGTTACGGGGGTGCGATCGGTTCTAATGAGGACGACGCCCGTTCTTTCCTTCTTTACTGCGTGTGCGTGTGTGTTTGCTCTGCTTCTCAAACGTTCGTTGTTGTTGGTTGTTTGTTTGTTTGTTTTTTATTATTATTGTGTGTTTTGTAATTTTTTGTTTTGCTTTTCCCCGTTTCTTCGCATGTGGGTGGAGACGGGCGCCTCGGTTTTTGTTTTGATTTTGCCTGCTGCACCGCAGCACGGGGAAGGCACGCAGGTGGGGAGGAGGGACCCAAAGCAAAAACTAAAAAGAAAAGAAGTGCACAGCCGCTTGGGGTCTGGGGCTCCACGCAGCAGGGGATAAAATAGACACCAATACGCATCTCCAGCTGAGCCCCCTCCCTCCCTCCCTCCCTCCTTCCCTTTACGTTTGCGCATCATCCCCCACGCACGTACACGCGTGGTGCTGGTCGCTGGTTCTGTTCGCTCTGTCTGGCGCCGCCGCTGGGGCGGGGGACGAGGCAGCCGTCTGTGCTTCTGAGTGCTGCCCATTTTCGCGTCTCTTCTTTTTTTAATATATATATTATTCCTCCTCCACGTACGTGTGAGTGTATACGCGTAAACGTGGGCGTGTCTTTGCATGCAAGAGTGTAGGGGAGGCAAACGGTGAATGGGTTTTTTTAAGAAGCGACATGGGGAGATGGCAGCCACAGATGCTGGGGGCCGCAGCTTCGTGTGGCGGCTGCCGGGCTTCTCCAGCTTCAGGCTTGACACCGTGCTAGACAGCACGAACGTGGTGGCCTTCACCATGGTCAAGTTTCACCTCCACATGACGATTGACATAAGCGGCAACACTGGGCTGTACATACATTACAAGGCGACGGGCATCCCCAAGTACTCTTACTACTTCTCGAACAGCCAGGGTGAGGTGATGCGGCAGCAGACGGCCCACACCATCCCCTCCAACACGAAACGATGCGGCCACTGGAACACGTGTTGCCGTCCCGACATTCTTGAGTTTATCAGCGCTGACGATGTGCTGCTGGTGAAATTCGTTTTCGACGATGACTGCCTGACGGTGAGCAGGACGCCGCAACCCAACGTGTTGCAGGTGATCTGGATGGTGCCGCACCTCTTCACGCAGATGCTGAACCCGTACTCCTCGCAGGGGTTCTCGGCCGGGGGCGCCAACTTCGTCATGCGGCTGGAGATCAAAAAGGAGTTCGGCGCCATCGACGCCGTGGGCCCGTACACCGTCGACAACATCAAAGACCTCGTCTTCTTCCTCTTCTGCCGCAAGCAGGAGGTGCCGCCGCACAGCATCGAGCTGCTCGACGGCAGCGGCGCCTGCATTGCGAAGCTTGACATGAAGGGAACCCCCGGCGTGCAGACGCTGACGGTGCCGAAGCAGCAGTTGTGGGACGCGCTCGGGAATCAGGGGACGCTGACGGTGCGAGTTAAGCTTCAGTGCCGCTGCAACCCGATTGACGCCCTCAACGCCCTCAGCGAGGCTCAGCAGCTGCTGCCGCAAGGCGAGGGGTCGCTTGCGGTGAACGCGACAACGCCGCCAGGGACGGTGCAGATCGGCAGCAAGAGGGAGGAGTATGTGGTGTTCCGCGGTGACGACTAGCACGTGGAGGGGAGGGGGGGGAGGGGGGTAGCTTCTTCCCACCACCACCGCCGCGATTGTTTCCCCGCATTGCCATTAGAGGTCCTATCGGAGAGGAAGTGAATGGTTAGGGAGGGCTGGGGTAGTGTACAGCAGCACACAGACGACGCATACAAAACAACAAGAAAGGAAAGAGAAAAAAGGTAAGTACGAGGAGGGTGTGTACTTCTTGTGCGAGGAGGAGGAGGGCCTGTAGCCCCACCCCGCCCCTTCAAATGAACTGCAGTGCCCACAGGGTTTGATTCCCAAACCCCCGCCTGGGTGCAGGCCCCGCGCTGCCATACTGTAATTTAATTTATTTATTTTTTAACTGTTGGTTTGGTTTGACTATGTCGTGTGTGTATATGAGCGCGCGTGTGTGCGTTATCGTTACTAGTAGTAGGGCTTGTGAATACATGAGCGAGACGGCGTCGTTCCCGCCTCACCGTGAGGAGCGACTGGATTCTCTCTTTGACACGGCAATGGAGGCTGTCGCGGAGCTGGAGCGATGCCGTGCACGCCTTCACGGCTCCCTGCAGGCGGCACACTTTCTCTACAGTGATGTGCAGCGGGAGATGGACCGTGCGGGCCTCATCCTCGGCTTGGAGGCCGTCCCGACGAAGGCGGGGGCGCTGCGCCCACAGCTGGGTCTCGTCTGTCTTGCCACCGCAGCGGAGGAGACAGCTACGAAAAAGGAGGAGGAGCAGAGCCAAGAGTATTACGAGTTCGCTGTGGTGAGCATGGCAGATGGCGGCGAAAACGATTCGGCGCATTGGTTTGCGTCCGCTCCCTCGGTGGGGCTGCGTGAGTGCCAGCAACGCTTCCGTGAGGTGGTGAACGCCTGTGTGCAGGTCGTGCAGGCGCAGAAACGAGCGATGGAGGCAGCTGAGGCCTACCGCGCGGTGGTGGCGCAGACTGCGTGAGGTTAATGCAACTGCCCTCCTTGTTCTTCCCTTCCCGTGGAGGACTTTTCCGGGCACACTGCATACGTATTTTATACAGTTTCCTATTTTGCAGCTGTTGCAGTGGTGTTGTTGTTTTGCATGGCGGGCGGGTGGTGGTGGTGTACTGCGGGAGCCCACGACGAGGTCCGGTTATTGTTTTGTTTTGTTTTGTTTTTTTCTGTATCTCTGTATTTCTCCTTCGACGCACATACCTCGTGCGTGTGGTCCGTTGTGACTGTGCTCCTCCCCCGCATACCTCTGCGCCCTCCTACCGTCCTCATCTCTTCTCCTGCACGCCGCACACGCTTCCGCAGCAGCCGCGGGGGAGCCTCAAGGGGAGGCGTGTTTGTTTGCGTTTGTGTTTTCTCTGGGGGGTGAGTGTGCCGAGGGTGTGGCCTGCGTACGCGTCAAAGAGAATAAAAACAAAGAAAATGGGCAAGGCGGGTGGCTTCTTTAAGCGGTTGAAGGCGAAGCAGAAGCGCAGTGTCTCGCGCCGCCGTCGCGGCACGAAAGGTGCCTCAAAGGAGGAGCGGCGTGCCAAGCACAACGAGCGTGTAGACTACTACGCCGCCAAGCGGGAGGCGGAGGCGCTCGCTGCCATTAGCAGCAGCGAGGGGGACAACGACGACAATAACGACGCGGTCTCTACCGACTCGGAGACGGAGGCGTGCCGGCAGGAACAGTCGCTGCTGCGACTACGGCGCCTGATTGGCGCTGCTGCGGTCAACAGCGGCACGAAACGCCGCCGCGGAGACAATGGCGCCGGCGGCGGGTCGAACGGCGACGCCCAAGCAGGGGGCGACAGGGACGCCACGGCTGTGGTGGAGCAACTGAGCGAGGGGGAGGATTGGAGAGCGTACCTGTCGGAAGAAGAAGAGGAAGAAGAAGAAGAGGAAGAGGAAGAGGAGGACGTGCCGCTAGATGAAATGTCTGACGATGATGATGAGGGTGGGGACTACGAGGAGGTGGAGGAGGGAGAAGAAGAGAATGAGGACGACGAGGAAGAGGAGGATGTCGGGAAGGAGGACGAGTACGAGGACGACGACAGCGTTGTGGCGGGAAGTGGCGCTGACGACGATGCCGCGACGGCGGGGGAAATGCAGTGGAAGCAGCGGATGGAGGAGACGGTGCAACTCCTGCCGCAGTTCCGCCCCGGCACAACGGGCGCTGCGGCGCTGCGGCACGTTGTGGTGCCCAACGACCCGTGGTTTGTGAAGTATCACCAGGACAAGCACGGCGGTATTGACACGACGCCCATGCAATTCCAGGGGTCGCACTACTGCCGCCGCTCGCACCCGGGTGACGGCAAGAAGGGGGAGGATGGTAATGTTTCCGACATCGCCGTGGCAGCCTCTGCCCATGCTGTGCGCCACTTTCTGCACGCACCGTTTGTGCTTGGTAAGCATTACCCGCAGCGGCCGCCGTACATGCATGAGATGTTGTGGACAAAGTGGCAGGAGTACTGCACCGCGGAATCCCGTGGTCCGATGACGGTGGAGGAGCGTGGTCTGCTCGATCTGCTGCAGGGGTACCCGGATGTGATGGATTGCTGCCGCTCATGGGAAAACGCGGACACCCGGCGTGAGATCTACCTCCTCCATGCCCTCAACCACTGGTTTAAGGCGCGATCCGTCGTGCTAGCGCACGACGCCCTGCTGCAGGAGCGTCGGCGGAGGCACAAGCAAAGGCAGGGCCGGCGGAGGACGGACGGCAGCAAGAAGAGTAGCGAGGAGGCAGAGGAGCAGGAAGACGAGGATGAGTATGAGTTTCGCGACCGTGGCTTTGGCAAGACGCGGATTATTATAATGCTGCCCATGCGCAACATTGCCCACCGCTACATGACGACGCTTGTGAAGCTGCTGCGAGCGTCGGCGGAGGATTGCGCCAAGCTCTCCATGTTCAACGAGGACTTCACCGAGCTGGCGGAGGCGGCGGATCCCACCTTCAAGCGCCGTCCACGCGACTACCAGCGGCAGTTTGCCGGCAACATTGACGACGCGTTTTGTGTCGGAGTTCGTCTGGAGCCGAGCCGGGTGCGGGTCTACGCTCACCCGCTGAACAGCGATCTGATCCTCTGCTCCCCGCTTGGCCTGCGGCGCCGGTTGGAGCGCAGCGGTGACGTGCTGGTGTCGCTTGCCTCCATTGAAGTCTGCATTATGGACGAGGCCCACGTGCTGCTCATGCAGAACTGGCAGCACGTGTCTGAAGTGCTGCGGCTGCTAAACAAGCGGCCGAAGGACACCACCCACGGCCTTTCTGACCTGCGGCGGGTCTACGCGTGGGCGCTCGCGGGGCACAGTGGTCGCCACCGCCAGACAATTATGTCCAGCGATTTGACGAACGCGAGCCTCCTTGCGACATTTCGCCTGGGCGTGAACAACTCCGGCCGGGTGCTGCTGCAGCACCGCGAGGAGGCGGGGGTGCTGTCGCAGGTGATGGTGCCGGTGCGGCAGCACTTCCTGCGCTTTGACCCGGGCCCTGCGCCGGAGACATGCGACGACGCCCGCTTCGACTTTTTCACCCGAGAGGTGTACGTGACGAAAATCAGCCCCCTCGTCGAGCGGGACGTGCGCACGATCGTCTTTGTGCCGTCCTACTTTGACTTTGTGCGGCTGCGCAACTACCTGATTCGCGAGCACCGGGACTCCTTTGCCGCCATCTGCGAGTACACCTCACTGCCGCAGCAGCGGAAGGCGCTGGGGCAGTTCACCGACCTCGAGCGGCCGCTGCTGCTTGTGACGGAGCGCTTTTACTTCTTCAAGCGCTACTTTGTGAAGCTGGCGGAGGTGATGGTTTTCTACAGCCCGCCGCTTTTCCCGGCGTTTTACGCCTCATTGGTTGGCCGTCTTGTTGTCACCTCGCCAAACGCCTTTGCGCTGACGCTCTTCTGCCGGTTTGACACGCACGAGCTTCAACGGCTTGTTGGCACGCGACGAATGCGGCAGTTGCTCGAGCGTGAGGCGGACGCCTTCTCCTTTGTGACGAACTGATCCACTGTCATCGCCATGCAAGCGTGGGAGAAAAGAAACAGGGGGGCTGCAGGATATATATACATGCGAAAGGAGGCAAAGTAGCTGTCTGTGTGTGTTAATAGCGGTTAAAGTGGAGACCAAATATACCCGTATTTGTACTGTGCGTACATGGCATTGCTTACGGGTATAAAAGGACCAAAAAGACCGTGGAGCCGGATAGTAGAAGGGGTGGGTGGTGCATGGGCCAGCTGAGTCTGTGGGTGTCTAAGGCATCTGGAACTGAGGCATCAAGCATAACGTTGCCCTCTTATTAATGTGCGTGTAAAGGACTTGTATATCTCTTCTCTACGCGCGGATGCTGGGCACTGGCATCCGTTGACATATATATATATATATATATATGTCACACATGTTCTTCCTTTCTCTGTTTCCATGTGGGCATGTCCCTGAGACTCCGGGAGTGTAATGACTGCACATCACTTTTTTCCTCTTTTTTTTTTTTGGTGGTGGTGGGGGGGGCTTTTCGTTTCACCTTTGCCAATGCGGCCATACACACCTTAAAGAGGAACAGCATTGCGTGGCATCCATCCGTGGCAGGTTGTGTGCAGGTAAGGGGGTTGTGTGCCTTGCAAGAGAAGGCAGGAAGTTTGTCTTCGTCCTTTCCTACACACACACACACACACACATCACAGGCACTGCCAGTTAGAGAGGGAGAGAGGCTTATTTGTAGATATCTGTATTACTCTACTCAGGGGTTCACGCACATGGCGGCCTCGGCGTTTGAGTTTGTGCAGGGCACGGAGCGGCTGGACTGGGGGGTGCTGGTGGCGATTGACCTGCAACGGCTGGTGAAGGACACAAACGTGGACACCCTACAGCGCATTGTGGAGAATCTCGCCTTTGCCCGCGTCACCCGCGACGAGGCGGCGATGTTCACCCCGGAGCACATCCTGCACCTCTTCACACTCTGCCAGCTGGTGATTCAGTACATCGTGTGCTCGCAGGAGTGTCTGGCGAAGATTAACGTGCGGCTGACAGAGCGGCTGCAGGAGATGCAGCACCGACGCGACGCAGCAGAGGCAGAGCGGGAGCGGCTGCACGAGGAGAACGTCATCCTGCGCAAGGAGGTGAAGGCGCAGCGACGCACTCTGTTGGCGTACGAGTACGCCAACACCGCGGGTGGGGGGATGTCAGCAGCGGTGGCGAGGGGAGCGCAGTCGTACGTGTGCTCGCAGTGCGGCGACGTCTACGCGAAGAAGGAGTCCCTGCAGTCCCACATGCGCAAGCGACACGCTGCGGTGAAGAATGAGACCCCGCCTCAACAACAACAACAACAACAACCGCAGCCACAGCAGGTTGAGACGGCGGCGTACGAGGGGCAGCTGCAGATGCAGCGGCAGCTTCAAGAGAAGGTGGAGCGGCTGGAAAATCTTCTGGAGAAGGAGAAGGAACGCAACGATCGTATGCAGCACGACAGCATGATGATGATGCAGGCCATCGTGAACGGGGCACGGGCGCCGGAAACGACCCCGTCCCCCTCCCCGTCCGTGCCGGCACCAGCGCCAGCACGACAAGCGCAGGTGCATGCCCCGCCGCTGCAGGTGGCCCCCGAGATCTCCGCCATTCCTGTGATGCCGGACCTCGCCGCCCTGCAGCGATACAACATGACGCGGCAACAGGAGACAGCAAACAACGCCATGCTGCGGAAGATATC